TTTCTATTTATATATAATTCTAAAATCCAAAGAAGAGTTAACTTCTTCCATTCGATAAGACAGGTTTCACGTGCAATGCCTATCGACCAGAAATCAAATATATTTATGGACTATACTAATATATTAGCAAACAGAAAAATTGATATCAAACTGAAAAATTCTTGTACAGCTATTGATTTTTAATTTTTAATATATTAGTATGTTGAAGAAAATGCGTCTTTAAACTGACTTAGTAACGTGTCGGAGATAGAGTAATTGAATTATTATACTGGTGATGGTATGCTCCACTATATAAATATGCGATATTTACACCAAACATATGGATAAGCCATACGCCAAATTTGCATGAGACAGAAACACTTGCAATTTCGTAAAACAAGTGTAAGAACTAAGAACAATGTGATGCTGATTGAAAAGCTATCTCGATCGGTTTATAAAATTGATCGAATAAATTAAAGGGTACTAACAGACACTTTTTTTTTCCTAAAAATTGTGTAAACCAGTTTTCTGAATTGATGCTGAGAGAAAAGGTATCTCGTTTTCTGAATTGGTCCAGTAATAAAAACAATTAAATTCAATTAATACACAATGTTTTTTCCTTAAATAAATAGTTCAAATATCTCTCAGAATTGTTTTTTTTTTCTAAGAAACGAAAAAAAATAATAATAATAGAAGAAACTGGAGAGCGCATGTGAGATGGGCCAGAACCTCTGATCCAACTGGCAGTTTCTTCGAGGGACATGCATGAATGGCCCTTTTTCTTTCTTTTCTTACTCACTTAGGGTTTTTTGCTTTTTAACTGCGCATTTACTATTCACTTTTGTGGACGCCCTCTGCTTGTTTTTTTTTTTTTTGTGGGTTTTCTGGACGGACTTTGTTATCTTCATTTCCTTTTTTGCAAAATAAAAAATAGTAGTAGATTTCTTTGCTTCTCTTTTCCGTACGTACGTTCTTAACTCTTACACATTTTTTTGGGGTCTAAGTCTCTTACACATTTTGTTATTCCTTTTTTTACACATTTTGTTATTCCTTTTTTCACACATTTTGTTATGTTATACTGTTTCTTAGGATAAATGTATAAAAACGTGTCGTAATTTCTTGAATTTTTTTTTTTGAGGTTCTATAGAAGAAGTAATTTGAAAATTTTTCTAAGTATGACAGCAAAAAAAAAAATCGTTGTCAATCAAGTGAAGTAATGTTGGTACAAATGTACAATGGTTAAGTTAAAGTCGAACATTTATTGTTGATTTTTCATTTTACCATGGGAGACATTTTAAATAGTAAATATTTCATTAAAAATAGTAAATATATTGAGTTTTCTGTTTCGAAGATTAGTAGTAGATTTCATCCCATTATAATATTAAAACTATAATGAAAAATATTTATATAAATCTTAACTCATCTGACTAATTAAATATTCATGCTCTTCGTGTCATACAACCCGAACGATTTTGAAGCATTTTTCACCGTTTATCAAAAATAATTTCCTTCATTATTTGCAAATGTGCATAGTGAATTTATATAATATTTATACCAATACACCCCATTTATCGCCTAAAAATTGTAGTTGTACTTAAGAATATTGCTGAGAAAATGAGGAAAAAAAAAATTGTATGGCTGATCCAACCTTTTTATTGCTGTAATTGTTAGACACATTAACCATCAAATAACTGAGACTAAGAAAATTATTTTATGGGTAAAGCTCTACAAATATCATTCTAAACTCGACACAAAAAAGGTCTTTCAACTGGATCTAATCCATAATAACTTCCAAAAATAAGGTAAAACAACATGAATAAAGATCTTAAGTGCATTATTATGATATTTTAACAAGCGTTAAATGAAACCAACTGGTTGTCTATATATATTACTGTATATATTTTGATCTGCGTGTCACTACGAATCTTTGGAAAACAATGTGCTTTTGTCTCCAAGTAACTTCAATTTTCTCTCCAAATAGTAGTAAGGTAATAACCTCGTGAACCTGCAAGCCTTGTTAAATCTTAATCCAAGTAAATTCGGATCATTAATTCTTTTGATCATATTTTGGGAAACCTTCAAGTCACTAAATAGAATGATATTAACTATGGAATTTATGACGTGTATATGCACAGTGACGCACGTGTGATTGAGAGTGTAAGTGGGGGCGCAAAGGGTAATTGCGTGTAGCGATGGAACACCGTAAGGTACTGTGAAAGCGACCAATGGGAGAAGCCCTACTGTTTTAGTTGTATAATGTCACGTCCCATCTCCAACTCATATGGGTCCCATTTACGTTTTTTTTTTCCCGATCCAACGGCTGAAATTCGTTCCTTGATTTCATAACCTATCATCGTACGCCGCTCACTTCCGTTCTCTCTACCCTTTTCTTTCTAGGGACAACCATTCACTGTCCTATTCTTCTTCCTCTCCTTCTTCTTATGCATATTCATTTAATTTTTTGACGTTTTTTTCTTCTAACTTTGACGTCGAAAATCTATCCTTATACGTACTTTATTCATATACCGTCATTCGACTATATATTATATATATCGCCGACAGAAAATACTATGATTATTACGTTATTCATATATATACTGATATACACATACGGCCTGTACTTATTGAGCTTACGCTTTAAAGATTTCTGTGACCAATTCAAAACGCATATATTGTGTTCTCGAGTTAAAAAGATTTTGCTCATTTTAGTTCATATTAAAGTCAATTTGAATTGAAATTCACTCTTAACTTATAACCATTTTGGATATAGTCAGGGAAGAATCCGAAGGTGTGCGAGGACTTATATTAAAGTAATTAACAGGAAATTTTATGTAATTTAGGGCCACTTTTTTTGTTTTAAAGATTTTGTAATACAAATAATAAGTATATCTATTTCAAATATGAACAGGGCCAAAAAAAAATTTGGCTATTTTTGAGCTGCACCTGGAATCAGTTCAAGCTAGATCTGGCTACTAAGACACCACTATGAACATCACAGATGCAAGGCAACAAACAAAAAATGGCTTGACGAGTGACGACCCCGAAACTTCAGTAAACACTTTATCTCTAGAAACATCAATCTGAATTAAGTAACTTAATCCCATAGTATCCAGAAATTGCAATAATGCACCTAAACATAAAAGGAAAAAGAGAAAGAAAAAAATCTTTAAGAGATATGACGACGGTACTGATCTATTTGTATATGATGTTGTTTCCAGTGTTACCCTTATTACGTCGAGAATTTCCACGTATCTTCTCAGGGTAGTATCGTTATTTGCTTTAGCCTATTGATCACAATGTCCATTTGTTTGGAAATTAATTGTATTTTTATCATCCAGAAAACACTTTCAAAGCTAAGAAATCAATAAAAACGTAAGCCACAAATAAACACGTATATTCCTTATTACAATTTATAGCTAAAGAAATCAGATTCGCAAATTTCCGAACGATGAAGTGCATATATATATATATTGTTAAAATCATGTATGTGTTTATATATATTGCCAATTTTGCCCTCTCCGGCATGCAATTCGGACAAGTATAATTCATATATCAATAAAGAAAAAATACAGAATCAGGAAACCCTAAAAGAACGTCCTGTCATTTTTATCAGGTGATTTCACTGTCTACCTTGACTTATTGCCATTATACATATAAATATATTTATATATTAATAGTTCGCACATTTCCATTTTCACATTACACAATCAAATAATGAGGCAAAAGAATATACCCAAGGAAAAGAACGACCACATAATTATAACGGACTCGAGCGCTCGACAATTCCATAAAATTCACTGGGACCTAAGGAACAGTGAATATATGTATGTAGAATACACAAATAGTACAAGTTTATCTATAAAAAAAAGAAATTTAATTGTTCTTATATACTTATATTTAAAGAATACGTTTTGTCTTTTTCTATGTGAAAATGTCCATTAATTGGTGTTGGAAATGTATTGTTAAAAGATTAACTGAAAAATTATGGGCTTTAGTTAGAGAACGTAGTTTGTTAGATTTTGACGAGTAACAATAGACGATTTAAACAGGTAAAAGCAAATTTAATTTAATTTTGGTTTAGTTGAGGTCCATGTCTCGGACGTTGGATTTTGGTGAATAACAACGGGTGATGTCCAAAATTTCAAACGTATGGAAACAAATTTAATTTGATTGGAATATGTATCATGAGTGTCGATTTTCGAGTGTTGGAAAGCGTTTATGAGACAATAATGTGGTTATGATTGTTTATATGACAAAATATGATGTTTTTCTTTTCTTTAATGCTCAAATTAAGTCAAGGCAATATAATATAAGTTGGACGAAGAACACCAAAATCGTGGGAGGAAAAGATTGTTAAGAGTCGAGCAAAATTAAGAAGATTGTTATGATGTTTAAGTGTGAGTGAGATAGGAAAAGTGTGATTCAGAAGATAGAAATGATATTTCTAAGATTTTGGTGAGGAATAAACAAAAGAAATGTGTAATTTTCGACCTAAGGTTAAAGTGTCTTGTAGTTTGAAATGTGAAATGTGTGTGTTTTTAGAATGGTCAACTTTATCTTCCTCTCCATTTCCACGCTTCTATCTCCTCTCACTGTGGAAGTAATAGATGTATTTATAGGAAAAAAAATACATGAATCAAGTTGTGGGATAAAGTTTTGCGTTTGTTAGATATGAAATATGATCATGTATGTATGTTTTTTTTTTCTTTTTCTGCTCAACATATATAATACAACGTATTTCCATACACAAGAGGGATGGATGTATAAAACTATAATTTAAATTTAAAAATGAAAAATGAAAAATGTACTATATAGTTGTATAATTTAGTTACATCGACGACGCAACGAAGTTTCGAAACTCGGGAGGAGCAACATAAATAAATAAAAAAGGCACGAGTCCCCAACTGTAATAAAAAGAGAATAAAGGGGCACATTAGTAAATTCATCATGTCCTTTTGGAACAGCAAGTTGCTTTAAAAATGAATAGCAAAAATCAAAGACCCGCTCCGTTCGGGTCCGGGTCAAAACAGCCATTGTCGTTCTTTCTTCTTCTGATTCAAATAAAGAGAAAGCTAGAGAGAGAAGAGAGAGAGAGAGAGCTCAAAAGAGAGAGGAGAGAGATAAGTAAGTAGCTCAAGCAGAGATTAACAATAATAATAAATAATAGCACGGCCACGTCGCCGCCGCTTTCCGTTGCCGGAGAAATCATTCTCTGTTTTCTTTCCTTAACAAATAAAAATAAAAACCGTCTCTTTCTTTCTTTGTTCCTTTCTTTGTCTGTCTCCTTTTTTTGTTTCTTTGATTATATTCTCTCTGTACACATGTTCTGCAACAGTTGAGCAGTTGCATGCCCATAACTTTCTTCTCATTTCCCGATCTTCGCATTAATCACAGTCCTTGGGGGATCTCGATTCGAGCTGCTAAGGAAACGAAACCAGCTTAAAGAAGAAGATCTATTGTTAAGGCTGAAACGACACCAACTCCTGTCGTTTTAGTTATAGCTCGAGATCTGTGTTTCCGTCTTGGCTTCTGAGCTTTTGGCGGTGGTGGGTTTTTCTGGAATAAACCAAACCAAAATCAAAGTTGTGGGTTTTTTCTTTTTAATGGGAGTTATCTGTGGGATTACTGGATAATTATCAAGTGATGAAGGAGTTGAAGATTCGGAGAAGCGGCTTTGAAGTCGGCGAGACGAAGATTGCGAGCTTATTTGGCTGAAAATTCGGATTTGGTTTTTTTTTTTTAAATTCATTTCTGTGAGGAGGAGAGGAAGAAATCTGGTTTTTTTTTTTCTATTTAGGGTTTTTGGATTTGTGAAAAGATTTGGTTGGTGAATGGGTGGGAGGTGGAGGGAAACAGTTAAAAAAGTTATGCTTTGGTGTCTACTCGTCATTATTACATTTGGGCATCTTGAAATCTTGGATCTTTGAAGAAACAAAGTTGGAAAATTTTCTGTTCTTGTTTGCTTTTAAGAGAAAAAAAAAAATGAGATTGTCTTCAGCTGCGTTTAGTCCTCAACCTCATGAAGGTATATTATTCTCTCAATTTTTCTTTCCTCTTCTCTCTTAACTTGCAAATGTGGAAACTTTGGATTTTGTGTGGATTTTAACTTTAGCTTATGTGTGTGTGTTGAAACAAAGTTACAGGAGAGAAAAGAGTTCTTAATTCTGAGCTCTGGCATGCTTGTGCTGGTCCTCTTGTCTCGTTACCTCCTGTTGGAAGCAGAGTTGTGTATTTCCCTCAAGGTCACAGTGAACAGGTTTTGTCTCCTTCCCTTATGCTTTTTGGATTCTTTAGTGTCTTTACAAATTACTAAAGCTTCAGAGAATGTTATGTGGATTTCAGGTCGCTGCTTCGACCAACAAAGAAGTAGATGCTCATATACCGAACTATCCCAGCTTGCATCCCCAGCTTATCTGTCAGCTTCACAATGTCACAATGCATGTAAGAAACTTGTTTTATGAGAAAATTTCTCCAGAGTGTTTATCCTGTTTGTGTGTTACTTAAGACCATGATTCGTTAAATTTCAGGCTGATGTGGAGACTGACGAAGTCTATGCACAGATGACTTTGCAACCGTTGAATGCGGTATGAGACTTTACTTGTAATCCATACTACGTTTTATGCGGATTTGTCGGTGTTGTGACCTAAATTCTTGTTTGAAATGCAGCAAGAGCAAAAAGATCCTTACCTTCCTGCTGAATTAGGTGTCCCGAGTAGGCAGCCTACAAACTATTTCTGTAAAACTCTGACTGCTAGTGATACCAGCACTCATGGAGGTTTCTCTGTACCTCGCCGTGCTGCTGAGAAAGTTTTTCCTCCCTTGGTAATTCATCTTCTCCGTCTTCTGAAATTTAATTTATAAGTTAGCTAATTCCGCTTTTTAACCAGATGATTATTTGTGTTCTTCAGGATTACTCTCAGCAGCCTCCAGCTCAAGAGTTGATGGCGAGGGATCTGCACGATAACGAGTGGAAGTTCCGACATATTTTCCGAGGTTAGTTTTCCTTGTGAAAATCCAATATCTTTAGTAATAATTGAAGTAACAAAGAGGTTAATTTACTCTGTATTTGTTTCTCCCTTTCAGGCCAACCCAAGAGACACCTCCTTACTACAGGTTGGAGCGTCTTTGTGAGTGCTAAAAGGCTGGTTGCTGGTGACTCCGTGCTTTTCATCTGGTTAGAAAATTTCCTCTTCAATTTTTTTTTGTTCTTCTAATGATACTTGTGAATCTTGATCTCATGCCTTTGTTTGTTAACACCAGGAACGATAAGAATCAGTTACTTCTTGGTATAAGACGAGCCAACCGGCCACAAACTGTCATGCCTTCATCTGTTTTGTCAAGTGACAGTATGCATTTAGGCCTTCTCGCTGCTGCAGCTCATGCAGCCGCCACAAACAGCCGATTCACCATCTTCTTTAATCCGAGGTACGGTTGTGAGATCCCAAATGAATGCACCTATGTGTTGATTCTTTGATTTGGTGATAAAAGAATTCTGCTTTTCTTCAGGGCGAGTCCATCAGAGTTTGTAATACCCCTGGCTAAGTACGTGAAAGCTGTTTATCACACTCGTGTCTCTGTTGGCATGCGGTTTAGGATGCTGTTTGAAACCGAAGAATCAAGTGTTCGTCGGTAGGTGGAATTGTCAGAATGACTTATCTTTCGCTCTGCTTTTTACAGCTGAATGTCCTCCTCAAGAATATTCATTGTTGTTAGGTACATGGGAACAATAACTGGCATATGTGATCTAGATCCTGCTCGTTGGGCTAATTCTCACTGGCGGTCCGTCAAGGTTCAGTCTACTAAACCAAACCTTTAGTAGAAAATCTTTGTTTTGTCGTATACATATGTCATCATTTTGATTATGATGCAGGTTGGATGGGACGAGTCTACTGCAGGAGAGAGGCAACCAAGGGTTTCCTTGTGGGAGATTGAGCCTTTAACAACATTCCCAATGTATCCTTCTCCTTTTCCTCTCAGGCTTAAACGTCCGTGGCCTCCAGGTCTCCCATCTTTCCACGGTATTGTAAATTTCAAAACCTGATCAGAAGTTTCTGTTTTTTAGTCTTTTATGTCTTCTTATCTTGTTGCGTCTCCTTTTTTTGCAGGTCTTAAAGAAGATGATATGGGTATGGGTATGAGTTCACCGCTTATGTGGGATCGAGGACTTCAATCTCTAAACTTTCAAGGTATGGGAGTAAACCCGTGGATGCAGCCGAGGCTTGATGCTTCGGGCTTGCTTGGTATGCAGAACGACGTTTATCAAGCAATGGCTGCAGCTGCTCTTCAAGACATGAGAGGCATTGATCCAGCAAAAGCTGCTGCTTCACTTCTTCAGTTCCAAAACCCCTCGGGATTCTCGATGCAGTCTCCGTCCTTGGTGCAGCCACAGATGCTACAACAGCAACTCTCTCAGCAGCAGCAGCAACAACAGCAACAGGCGTATCTTGGCGTTCCTGAAACCCACCAGTCTCAGTCTCAGTCTCAGTCAAACAATCTTCTCTCTCAGCAGCAGCAGCAACAGCAGCAGCAAGCAGTGGATAATCATAATCCGTCTGCGTCAGGTGCTGCTGTTGTTTCCGCTATGTCTCAGTTTGGTTCTGCTTCTCAATCCAACACGTCGCCACTCCAGTCAATGACTTCTCTGTGTCATCAACAAAGCTTCTCAGACACCAACGGAGGAAACAATCCTATCTCTCCTCTCCACAGTCTCCTCAGTAACTTCTCTCAAGACGAGTCTTCTCAACTGCTCAACCTCACTAGAACAAACTCTGCAATGACTTCTTCCGGTTGGCCTTCAAAGCGTCCTGCAGTTGATTCCACGTTCCAGCACTCTGGAGCTGGTAACAACAACACTCAATCCGTGATGGAGCAGTTGGGACAGTCCCACACAAGCAACGTTCCTCCAAATGCTGTATCGTTGCCTCCATTCCCCGGTGGTGGTAGAGAGTGCTCAATCGAGCAAGAAGGAAGCGCCTCAGACCCGCATAGCCATCTTCTGTTTGGAGTCAACATAGACTCATCTTCCCTTTTGATGCCCAATGGAATGTCAAACCTTAGAAGCATTGGCATTGAAGGTGGCGACTCCACGACTCTACCTTTCACATCATCTACTTTCAACAACGATTTCTCGGGCAATCTTGCAATGACAACACCCTCTAGTTGCATAGACGAGTCGGGTTTTCTTCAATCCTCAGAAAACCTCGGTTCTGAGAACCAACAATCTAATACCTTTGTGAAGGTAAAAGTTTCTCTTCTTTTCCTCTCCAAAGTGTTGTCCTTTTTTTGTTGCACATGTTGTGATGATCTAATGGGAATGTTATTGGCAGGTGTACAAGTCAGGGTCTTTTGGACGTTCTTTAGATATAACGAAGTTTAGCAGCTACCACGAGCTGCGAAGCGAGCTTGCTCGCATGTTTGGCCTAGAAGGCCAATTAGAAGACCCTGTGAGATCAGGCTGGCAGCTTGTATTTGTTGACCGAGAGAACGATGTTCTTCTCCTCGGCGATGACCCTTGGCCGTGAGTGTTTCATTTCCCTCATTTCCACTTTTCTTACCCTCCCACATTATAGACTAATCTAAATCTAAAACCCTTCTTGGTTACAGGGAGTTTGTGAGCAGTGTGTGGTGCATCAAGATACTATCACCACAAGAAGTGCAGCAAATGGGTAAAAGAGGCCTTGAGCTTCTCAATTCCGCTCCATCCTCCAACAATGTCGATAAGCTCCCGAGCAACAATGGGAACTGCGATGACTTTGGGAACCGGTCAGACCCGAGGAATCTCGGTAACGGTATCGCATCCGTAGGGGGTTCGTTTAACTACTAGATAAGTAGAAACCAAACCCCTTTTTTTTTCTTACAATGAAGTTAAGTGTCATCATCTTATAAAAATTTAGTATTGATCATATTAGTTTAATTACTAGCAAAAATCTCTCTTTATTACTTATATAAAAATAGGGAGCTTTGCGTTGGCCTTTGTGGAAACAAGAACTATATAATAGCTGCGTCTTTTCTCTCTGTCGTTATAATACTGTAATTATAAGATCCTTTTCTTATATGAATTTTTTTTTTTATATATGTCATTTTCTTTACTCACCACTTCTTCTTCAATCAATTTTTGATAGTGAAGTGTTGTTTTGGAGCTATGTTAACACTTTGTCTGACTCAATGGCCCACATAGAAAGTGGTTTGGGTCCCAATTCCTTATTGGTTTTGTGTTTTAGTTGTGTGAAACACCGAAATATTCCGACCCGCAATTTAGGGCTTTACCCTAAAATTAGATCTCGTTTTGCGTCAGCGATAACCTTTTTCTCTTGACACGTATCGATCCATAGTTCGTACTCGTAGGACACTTTTTATTGGTAGGTCAATTAAATATGCCCTAACGTATAGAAACTTAGTTGAATTCTCATTTCTCATCGAAAATATTAAGAGTATGAAACGAAATTTGTACAGTGATCAAGGTCTTACGTTTGCGTCATGTTGTGATGATTATAATAATAAAACATGGACACGTAAACTTGAATTATAACTATATAAAAAAAACACACAATGGGTACCTAGCTCCTTTTAACTTACAAATCAGTCGTTTAAATATTTGATTCAATATGAATTTTGGACATATTTTGCAAACTAACTTTTTTTTTTTGGTTGGGTTCTATCGGATAGGATTTGGTTACTATGAATTTAGTAGTTATGATTTGGTTTGGTGTTTGCTTGTCCATTAAGAGAATAGAGTGATCAAATAATAAAAGAAGATGTTATTTAAAGTCAAATAAGTAACAAATTTGATGAAGAGATATTTGTAAGTATATGGTTTTGATGTGTGGTGTATGAATGTGATTCACATATATCTTGAGTGGTGGGACTATATATTCTAAGTAAGAAATTGGGAATAGTTGAAAATAATGTTGGGTGCATGTGGTAGGGACATTTATAGATGATACAAGTTAGGGCACTTTCATGAGCCCTAATTAAATAGTGTATGGTGACCCATCATTTTGAAAGTTCTCACCTTTTCTTTTCTTTTCTTATTCCTATTTTAATAATTTTTTTTTCTTTTCTTTTAAAAGTTGTTAATTTCTTCTTCTTACAAAATCAATTATTCATTACAATTGTTCATAGGATGTTGTAGCCATTCATTTCGAGGTAAAGAATAGATTCAAATGAAGCTCTTAGAACATAGCTTTTGTCTATCTACACATAGAATAATATGTCTTTTCTAGATAGATGTCATAACTATATCTTCAATCTTAATGGAATTTCCATGAAGCTGGTATTGAAGTCCTTAACTTAATATTATTAAATAGTACTATATTTCTTATTCGATCTCATTACAAATTAGACAATCAAATGATATGGGTAAACAATCAAATTTAGTTTATCAGAAGGTTCAGAGAAACTGTATAAAAAAATCTTGTTGACTAGGTCTATGTGTACTATATTAGAATTGGATTGCCATTTTGAATTGAAATTTGGTTGGACGACTGCATGTTTAAAATATGAGGTAGAGAAGACTTTTGAAAATTGATAATTCAAAGTTCAGAATAAGAGGTACCAGTTACCACCGGAGTTACATGGAAGTATTGTATAATTATGAAAGATAAAAATATGGAAAGTAAAAATGAATATAACCAAAATAAGCTTTTAACAACAAGAGTTTTGAGTGCATATGTAATTTGTTCTTGTGCGACTAGTTTTCTCTCATTTATCTCTTTTTAAAACGACGAAAAGAAAACGTCAAATGTGATATTATTATTGATGGTCGAAACACTTTTTGAACAAAGTAAATAAAGCTACTTTTTGAGTTTTAAGACCAAGAAAAAAAAGAAAATCTTTGTACCATCCTTTCGTTGTAAACTTGTAAGGATGGTACGATGGAGAAATTATTAATTACTCATAATTTAAACTGATCCGGTTATCAAAAATATTATAATATTGAAAAATGTGAACTGATTTGTTTGGTCTTTAGAGAGACGTTTTGAGTTATTTGTGACACTGTTAATCAGCGATGGAAAACGTAAGATACATAATAACGTAAGTTTTTGTTGGGATATCGATTTAAATCCTGCATTCAGATATTGTGTACAAGGATCGCCTAACTCTAATTATAGTAAAATCAAAATATTTCTTTTAAAAAATCCATGCAGATTTGACTCAGTACAAACAATATCATACTAATGGTAGAATTTACATCGACTTTAAACTTGTGATGTAATAACGTTTATCATTGGGCTAAGTTAACCAAAATACTCAAAGGGTTTCTATTTGCATTTTATTGTTTTCTTCTTAAATTATCTATTTCCATTCAAGCGTCATTCCTGTTTCTGTACTTGTATAATATTATTTCCAAAATTTTAAGATGGGATCTATGTAATGTAAATAAATATATGTCGAATATGTTTATCACAATGAAAACTTTTGGGCCGACGATTATACTTGTTTTTAAATATTGGGCCAATGGGTCAAAGCCCAAATATTTTAGTGTAGTCCTAAAGAGTGCCACTGCCCACTGCCAACTAAGCCGATGTACCAACATGTACACATAACTCCAAAAATTTCACTTGCAATAACTAAACCGTCTTTCAATTCTTGAATTTTTGTTTTGTAAGTTCTGGTTTAACTTGTTCCTGAAGGCAATAGCCAAGCCCTAACTTAAGACACAATCTTTGTCATCTCTATTGGAATCTATGCAACACAAAATGCATTCCATTTATATATTACACACAAATGGGATTTGAGATCAAATCCTAGGTTTACTCAAAAGATGATCCAAGGGTTCATGAGAACCAACCACAACATATCCTGTAACTAGAAGCCGGTATTCGACCTGTTTCCCGGATATATTCGACTTCAGCCGCTGCCTTCTCGGCATCACGGGACTTTCTAGCTTCCGCTGAAGCCCTTTTCTCTTCCGACCTTTGCTTAGCCATCGCTATTTTCTTCACCATCTTTGCTTCAGCTTCAGCTTTCATCTGCTCCACTTTGGCCTAACAACCAACATAATATCATCAATGCTTTAGCAGCGAATTTGGTGCGAGTGACCAAGCAAAAGTTTTTCAAGAGAATCACAATTCTGATCGGAAGATGCCTCACTATACCTCAATACGTCGCATTTCTGCTTCGAGTTTGGCTTTCTCCTGACTTTCCCAAGCTTGTATTCTGATTTCCTCACGCTTATACCTATGACAGCACGTTTATGTCTTTCTACTCTTATGTTTTCTTTACCAAACAAGCAACATAATTAGTCTAGGTCATAAGGAAGAATGCATACCTTGCATTATGTTTTGATTTCTCTGCTTCTTCCCACGCAGTAGCTCGTTTATCAAACTCAATCCTCTGCGTCTCCTCTGCATCTGCATTCTTGTTATTGTTCTCCTCTTCTTCTTTACTTGCCCAAGCTGCGATGTTCATCTTCCCTAATTGAACCCCTAAAGCTACTATCTCTCTTCTCGTCTTCGCTTTGACTTCCTCCTCAGAGAGTTCTCTTCTTGTGTTCTTTGACGGGTCTTGTGACAAAGAAGACTCTTCTTGTTGGCCTCCTCTAGGAGTAGAAGGGAGCGAAGAAGTAGGACTGCGAAGAGGAGTTGTTGCACCAACTGGTGTGACAGATCTTGAAGGTTCTTGACTCGGTATCGGCGTCATTTCAGTTCCCATATCTCTCATACATACAGAACGAATTGCAGGACCAGCTTCACACAATACAAAAGACTTTATCTTGTCAAGCTTCAGGAGCTTCAAGATTCTAAAACTCTGGGAAAAAAACAAGTCACCATTTTTTACCTGTTGTATCATTACGTGATGTATCCTTTGTTGTGTCCACAAGATCTTTGCTTTGTGTGGATTGATCGATCAACAAGTTACCTCCATATCCTTGAGTGTGAACAAAATTAGGGAACTTCTCGGACCCATCAATATGTGAGGAATGGCACGGATCCATCCTTGATTTGTTAAGCTCGTAACCTGCATTATCAGGCACAACTCTCACAGGCATCCTGTTCCCTTGACAGTTCTTCCTCATCACCATGTTCTTCTGTCTGCTCATTATCCACTTCTCAGCATCATTCCATTTGGATGGCATTTGCCTCGAAGGGTATGCTCTTGAGGCATGGTTCTGATTCGAACGCTCACCACGAACACCGTGAAACTCGAAGCTTGAAGAGCTAGCGTTACTGTCATAATCAAGATTCTCATCTTCTTGAGGTCTCAGAGCCATACTCAAGTCGCCTTTTTTAAATTGCTGAGGTCTTGGTTGACCGTTTTCTCTCATAACAGATTCACAACTATGTCTCGAGGCTTGATTATCGCTCTCGGATATATCCAAAACCGGTGCATTTGGCAGTTTAGCTACTTCTATATCCGTAGTTGGAGCCGCGACTAGAAGTCACACACAACAAGAACAGAGCAAAGAGACAAACTTTAGCCAATCATGACCAAAACAGCAAGAACAGAGCAAAGAAACAAACTTTAGCCCTTCATGACCAAAACAGACGAGAACAGAGCAAAGACATAAAATGTAGCCAAGTTAAATCGATTAAAGACTTCAATTGTGTAACATGGAGCATATAGACGAAACAAGAACAAGGGCAAAAAGACAAACTTTAGTCAAGAACAGAGCAAAGACAGAGACTTTAGCGATATTATGATTTAGATTATCGAACTGAGACATGGGAGACGAGAGACAAAAACCATTTTCATCGTCGTCTGAATCAGGTTTAGAAGCTAGCAAGCTGTTCTTGGAGAACTCTGTGACATCTGAAACCTGAAGACGAACAGGAGATGTTCTTGAAGAGTTACTGTTGGATCCTTCTCTCTTCTTGTTATTGTGTGAACCCATTAGCTTCATTCGCAGCTTCGTCGGCGAGATTATGCTCTTCTGCAAGATATAAACCCAAGATTATTGAATTTTCTTTATATCTATTTCATGAAATCAATAGTTTAAAGGACAAACAAATTAACTTTTTCTGATAAAGCAAAGATTGGAGGAGAAAAAGGATGAAAATTTCTGCAATTTAACAGTAAAAAAAGAAACACAAACAAATTTCAAAAGAAAAAGTTCATCTCTTCCTCCCAGAAATTCTTCAACAGAAGAAACTCACTGTAACATAGTGAATGCTAAAATCCTAAAGCCATATCCAATAATTTAAGCAAAAGACAAAAAGAAACAAAGGAAAAAACATAGAGTAAGAGGGTAATATGAAAAACAAAACAGAGAAGTACAAAAGAACAGAAGATTGAAAACAAGAGAAATGTTGTACTTGAGAGAGAGAGAGAGAGATGATTTAAATTACCTGCACCTTCTCTATCCTCTCGTAATCCATTGCCAATGCCAAATCCTCTCTCTATGTCTCAATGTCTATATACTTAAAGACACATATATGTATATGTATGAAGTTTAAGACAAGACAAGCTTTCTTCTCGCTCTAACCCCCCCTCTCTCTCTCCGCTGAAGAAGAAGAGAGACAAATGGGTAATTTAGTTTCGTAGCTTATTTTTTTTTTCCTTAATGGTTTTGGGAATTTTTAGATAATGATTGAACAAAGAGGGTTTTTCTTGTATTTTTATATATTTTTGGGAATTGTATTTTTGTATTTGTGTTAGAGAGAGAAAAAAAAGGTGCAGATGGGGGACTGTGCACGCCGGTCCACATTTGCTTCTCATCATCGTCACCGTTCCGATCTCGACACGTCACCTAACTCAATTTTTTTAAAAAAATTAAAAGAGTATTTTCTGAGTAGTTTGTTCTATTGTCATCCATGAATACATTTTTTGGTTTCTATCAAATTAAATCTCGAAAACGACTTCAATTTCTTAGTTTAAAAGTTGAAGAATTTTTATATACACACAAAAGTAATGCTATAAGATAATAAAACAGTATGTCAAAGTTTCATCTGAGTAAGAACACGGGTCTAATAATTTTTTTTAAAGAAGAACATGGGTCTAGTGATTTTGATTTCTGGAGATGCAAATTCAACAAAAGAAGGAAAAAGTTTGAGCTACTACATTCCAAAAAGAAAAATTTATGATAATAACTGATATCTGAAAAGTCTATAAGTAGATTACTGTAGATTAGTGAAAGTGGATTTATTATTCACATCTGTCAATCTCCACACCTCGCCATAATGAGCTTAATCATTTCACTTTCACTGTGAACCTTTTTTTGGTCTCTGTGAACTTAATTATTAAAAACATGTTTGGTTCGAAAATTTTAATAAAATGAGCCGGGGGAAAATAGCACAATATCTATTGTATTTTGTTACGGTAGGTTTTGAGAGTAATATAGAAGTAGATAGTTAGGATACCATGTGTTTTATTGAACCATAATTATGATAGTGACAAAAAAAAAACAGAGCAAGTTATTATGATTTTTTTTTCTTTCTTTTTGGTTATAACGAAGAAACCGAAGAAGTGGTTGTGTGTAGATTCATAATGCAAATGTAAATGATACAAAAAAAATCAGTACTGAAACGTAAACAATCGAACTGACACTTTCTCCACTTTAGGGCATTACGTTTCTCTGTCACTTTGACCGTTGACTACCTCTCGTCTTCTTTGTTCTCATAAATTTGTAAATTAAATATTTACTGTACATATATTTTCATTACGGAAATTTTCATTTATGGATAAAAATTTCGATTAACCATGAAACAAGAATCGATTTATCTCGTTGACTGCCTCTCTCACTACTACCTTCAATTGAATCTCAAATTACCATGAAAAGAAATGATAATAATAAACAAACGGAAAATAAATTCGAAGGGATCTGTGTCCTACCGAGGAGCAATGCAACTCATTCGCCACCTATTTTTAATTTCGTTTTATTTTAATTATCATATGATTATAGTTTGAATATTGATTGTAGCTTTACAAATATATAATTTAGCTGCTTATAAAAATTCACAACATACGAATGTATAAACAATAGCGAGCGTGTACGTATTGTGAGGCTCAAGCTCAGCTAGATTCTGATAGCTTAACCTTGTTTTCCTCAAAAGTGGATCTTTTTAAAATAGTAATATTTTCTTTAAGGACATGCATGCTTTTACACAGAAAATATACGAGATTACTTTCTTTTCTAAAAGACCAAGTTTTTGTCTTTCAATGTACATGTTTTTTTTTTCACAAAAAGATCATGTGAAATTATTCGTCAATAAGGAAATAAACTAAATGATGAAATAAAAAGGAAATAAACTCAATTAAGTACTTTTTTCTTCTCTCTTAGTTCGGTCTAAAATTCTTAACTACGGGACTAAGATTGTCAAACGATTAAGGATTACTAATGTGAGTGTTACATAGTATGTAGTATTTTTTTTGGGGGCCAACATAAAGTTGATTTATAACTAGTGTCATTATAATCTATCGTTTAGTCCTCATGCCTGATGTATACACATGGCTTAAAACCATACTAGATTCTAACCTTGTGCATCGCACGAGAATATTTTTTATTGTTTAACGAATTTTGTAATATAATTTATGTTTTTGAGTTTAGATATAATTATTTTTATAAATATATTTTTTAATAAGTGAAAATATTGATTTTGTGTTTAGATATATTTTTATAGTATTAAAATTAATTATGATTATAAAAATATAATTTTAACTCGTCCGCTAATATTAATTCAAAATGAACTATTATAAAAACATAATTCTAACTTTTCCGTTCATATTACCGTATAATATAAATATTTATTAAAAAATTGAGATGTATTAACAGTATTATTTAGCATTATAATTTTCTAAAATTTAATCAACGAAGGAGTGTACAACTGGTTTTTAAAACCATATTATAAAACCACATTATAGTGTATGCAATAATTTTTAATTTTTTATGTTTTTATTTTGTATGAAAAATATATTTCGATATATATGTATAATTCAAAATTAGTGATTTTAGTTACCAAAATATTTTTAACTCGGTTTTTCTATATATTTTTAGTTCTATGAATTTTTTAAAATATATTTTTAATATTTAAATTATACATTTGAATTTTACCTATTATTTTATAATCGTAAATATATTATATAAGCAACATAAATATCATATCATTTACATCATTATAAATATTTTATATTTCAAATATGACCATTATTTATCATATGTGAATTATTGTTTTTTCAAAAATTCTAGATATTTTTGATAAAAATGTTTAATAGTATAGTTTTTATTTAAATTAGAATCTTAAATCAAATCTAAATTAATATCTGATTTATTATTTTTAATCAAATCAAATCAAATCTAAATTACCTATATTTAAGGAACTCTAAAAATATTTAAATTAATAACTAATTTTCGATATTAAATATAAATAATTATTAAAATTATTTTAAACACTTAAAAAAAATTAGGAGTGTTTGGAAGCAAGTACTAAATGTGCTTTTGTTTTAATATAATAGATATAATATGAGGATTTTTTTAATTGTCAAGTATATCCTTTGCAAAACAAATGCATAGAATATTTGAATTTTTACAGATTAATCCAGTTTAACACATTGTTTTAAACGACTCATTTAATCATCTGCTTCTTGATCCGGTGTCTGATGCATCTTCTGGGACTAGCAGTTTCAACTCACAAAATTAGAGAAAGATCTTTGACCAATTTTCCCCGCATTGATAAACATTTATTGCTTCTTAGTTCTTACTTCTTACAAAATAGTGATATAAACGTTCCTTACATAAAATCAACGTCGATGTGATTGTGATGTACAGACTGGCCGCTGATTTATTTTATTTTCTTAGTTTAATCATAATGAAAAGTTTGTAGTCATTTTTATTTGGTCAATAGCGAAAAGATTTATTCTCATTAAAGAATGTTCAACAATATATATATATATATATATATATATATATATACGGTTATGTCAATACTTTCATAATGCGCTTATTGAAATGGTGCGTCAATTTGATTTTGGTGGTCGGTGTATGAGATAAGTCAAAAAAGCCACTAGCTAGCTAGTACATTTCCTCGCACACACTTGCGGACATTTTTTCCTTTTCACATTGCTATTATAATTTAGTCAATAAATTTGAATTTAATTTATAAAATTTAATTATATATTTTGCAAAGGTTGAAAATCATGAGTTGGACTATAAGTGTATTGTAGAATTTAGAAGAATGTGTGAGTCTTTATTGATCAACTTACAAACATATATATACACAACTTTAGTCGGTTTAACAACGACTTAATCTTATCTAAAACCAATAGGATTTATCTACTAAAATATATATATACTTAGATATATCCAACATTAGCATTATCTCTAAGTTGTATATATCTTGATACTATAATATCTCCTAGTACTCCCCTTCAAATTGGAGCGTGAAGATTGAGAACGCCCAACTTGGACATCAATGTAGTGAACTGGACCTTTCCCAATGCTTTAGTCAACACATCTGCGAGCTGCTCTGTTGTTCGGACATGAATTGTAGTGAGAAGACCATCTTTAATCGCATCCCGTACTCGATGACAGTCAACTTCAACATGTTTAGTACGCTCGTGAAACACCGGTTTTGCGGCAATATGTATAGCAGATTTGCTATCACAAAACAAACGAACTGGAGTGACTGGTGGAAATCCTAAATCAGTGAACAACTGTTTGAGCCATTTGATTTCACGTGTTGCAGCAGACATGGCTCGATACTCTGCTTCGGACGACGAATGAGACACAACATCTTGTTTCTTCGTTTTCCAAGTGATTGGAGATCCACCAAGCAAACCGATATAGGCTGTTAACGATCTCTTTGTCAAAGGGCATGCGGCCCAATCCGCGTCACAATACATAGAAAGCGTCAAATCCTTATCAGCACGCAGTAATATGCCTTGACCGATCGTTCCTTTAAGAAAACGAACCACCCTAAGTGCTGCGTCCATGTGAGCTTGGCGTGGCTTTGCCATGAATTGGGACAAGATATGGACTGAATAACAAAGATCTGGCCTTGTATTGGCAAGATAAATAAGCCGACCAACCAACCTCCGATACTGTATTGGATTAGAAAGGAGAGCACTAGTGTCTTTTCCTAATCGATGATTCTGCTCCATTGGAGTGTGAGCTGGTTTACATCCCAACAAGCCGGTCTCAGCAACAATGTCAAGAGCGTACTTCCTTTGTGTCATCAGAATACCTTCTTCGCTTCGAGCAATTTCAATGCCAAGAAAATACTTGAGTTTTCCCAAATCTTTCATGTGAAAGCACCGAGAGAGATAAGCTTTAAACTTCGCCAAAGCTTCATTGCTATTTCCACAAATAACTAAATCATCAACGTAAATTAGAACGCGTATCTTAACTCCATCACGACTGTAAGTGAACAATGAGTAATCGGCA